CTTTAAGAAAACAAGTTTCCATTAATCCCTACTGTGCACCTTTTTATATATTAATATGTTTCARCTGCTTTATTTCACCACAAATAAGCTGATTCATGTGTGCAACAACAAAGAGAAAAAAAAAAAAGAAATAGGATGTGGAGTGGAAATTAATGTAATGACAGGACAGGTCCAAACATTGATGYAAAAGATTAAAAAAAGAAAGAAGTAAGAAGAAGAGCAGTTTTTTTGCTGAACTGAAATATAGTTAGAAGTTTAAAGTACGTTTTTTTTATTGCTCCCATTTAATAGTTGCTAATGGTGATATTGACACACAACCATTGTGCAAGTTCCAGAAATGTCAACAGACATTTAACGCACATTATGCATTTCAAACATATTTATTATTCGTGAAAAATACTAAAAATGGGAAAGGATTATGTCTGGGTTAGTGGTTCAGAATGATGTACAAACAAACTCTTTATTATTACAACTAAAAAATGTAAGATTCCAAACATTAATGTTTAAAATCAACTTAGAAAGAGATGATTTTTAGTATCAGAGAAGAGACGCACTGATGGAAATCTTTCCAACCGTGTTAAAGTCAATATTCCTAAGTACAGCACACAGAGATACAGATCTTTTTTGTGTTCCTGTTTCCCATTGTTTCTATTCATTGTAATGAAGTCATCCAGACCCTGCGTGAGACAGAAACGCCCATCGTTTTCTTGCCTCGTGATGAACTCTACAACCTCAGTGGCAAAAAAATAATAATCGTGTTCACTAACCGATTATCTTTGGAATCGGTCCAAATCAAGATGGCCGCCTGCAACAAAAAAAAAATTGGCTTCAAGTTCACAAATATTGAAGCAAAACTGTTGGATTCTGCAGAGTCTTCATAAAGTTTCCTCACATGATTTATACCAAAACATGAATGGAAACAAGGTTCATTGTAAAACACAAATCTAAAAAGTGTGTTTAATATCAAGCTGATTAGAAGTTGTTGAAAATAGTTCCAGAAATGAATGCATCTCTTTTTTATCATATCTGTATCTTTGTGGCGCTCTCGTTCTTTGTGCCAAACAAGATTYGTCTTATCTTCTGATCTTCTTCGTGGATCATGTTCTGCCCTCCTSGCTTGTAGAGTCCCTTTGTTGAAAGTAATAATCATAAAAAAGCAACAGTTATTTGTTTTCCTCCTGTCTGCCTCAGGAGACCTTTAATCCAGTCAGCATCATTTGTTTTTCATCTGCCTTGAAAACAAAAGTAAGCAATTTCATGGAAAATTAGGGTATGTTAAGATATTTTTTGTTGCAAAAGTTTGTCATTTTTATGTCTCGTAAAAAGACATAAAACATTTTTATCAGGCCTGAACCTCTGACTCTGGTTGACCGGATTTGCTTCGACGCAGCTTTAAGTAAATATGCAAACTATTTAAGTTCAAATGAAAGCTGGGAGGTAAAACATGCCAGGGGTGTCGGGGCTTGTTGAGTCAGACGTTTATGTATTTATGGTCATGAACGATGATGGAGATGAAAGACTGAAGAACAGGTTAAAGAAAAGAAAAAGCTAAATTCAGGTTTTTGAGATGATCTAACGTCGGCGGAAAACAGGTTTTCTGGATTTGTGCCAAAAGACGACAAAACTGACAGAAAATAAATGAAACATCAAGTTAAAAATAAATAAAACAGAGCAGGTCAGGTCAGTTTAGTTATTGTCATACCTCTGTTACCACAAGATAATATACTACTGAAATCAGTGTTTTACTACAAACTGATTGACTTGAGTAAACGTACAAGTATCTTACCAAAAAACTACTTTGGTAAAACTTAAAGTCTCCTTTAGGAATATTACTTGAGTCAAAGTCTTAAAATATCAGATATTTTTTTAAAGTAAAAGGTTTAGTAAAGATTTAGGAGGTGACTGTGTTGTATTAAAATAATTAATTTGTGTTAAATTTACGATGCACTAGTCTAGCTGCTTCAGTTTATTTACATATATGAGGAGGGCCAAACCTTTTCTCCAAAATGAAAATCTATCTGATGGCTGTGGCCAAATGTAATAATATAATTCATGAAATACAAATACTTCTTAAGTACAGTCCTTTTATTTTAATGATTATGTCCTGCTGCAGTGTGACATGATCTGTTTGTGTACAAACTAATACGGTATCAGAATTTCATATATTTATACTTCTCATTCAACCACARTTAAATTCACTMTRTCTAGGAGGCACAATTTATATGGATAGTTTTTATWTTTTACAACAAGCTRAAATGAACACAAGCAAAAATGAAACAAAAGTAACGACTTTCTACTTCTTGCCTTTTTTTAAAAAAATGTAAGGGGTAGAAASTACAAATATTTGTGTGAAAATGTAAGCAGTAAAAGTAAAAATRGGCTGAAAATAAATTACTCAAGTAAAGTACRGATACCCAAAAATTCTACTTAAGTACAGTAACAAAGTATTTGTACTTAGTTACTTAACAACTCTGATTGGAATACATCCATGTAACAAAATGTTAAATGTAAATTACACAGGTATAAACTGAAACAACCTTTTAATAATGCATTGTTTTCTGTCACCTGACATCTTTGTCAAGTCTTTATAAAATCCTAGATTTAGGTCCTGATCTAGAGTTAGTCACCTCCAAGTTTGGTCTTTCCCAACTGTTSTAACATTTTCCTTTAGATTTGACCTCTGAGGAAACACTGCTTGAATTGTGTGACTCGTTTTTGTAGAGGTAAAACCAAAAATCACAATGAAGCCAGAGGATTCTGTTTGTGTGTCAAAGTTACTGCTGGAGAAGTTAGGGATGACTTTCAGCAACTGCCACAGTAGTTTTTCCTCAATAAATTAATAAGTAGAGTTATAACCGTTAAAGTGTTTATTAAAGCTGATTWAAGTCATATTTCCTCAGGCTAATGTTGAAGACTCGTTGGAAACACACAATCTTGAGAAAGTATGCAAATTTCCCCTCTGATTCAAACTCAATGACACGTTTGCACTAGCTCCTGCTAAAAACAAAACATAACAAAAACAAATTGGGTTAGTTTTTTAATGTCCACTCAATATTTTTGCAGAAAATGCTTTTTATTATTTTATGTCTCATCACTTTCACTTGTCTCACCAAAGAACTGATGTCAAGTGAACCAATCTGGAAGGAGGCTCATGCCTACACACACACAAACCCTGGGTTGTGTGCATAAGTAAACACAGTTGCCCTATAAATGTAAATTGCCGTCAATGGTGCTGGAATTCCTTTGCACTCAGTGACTGAGCTCCTTGCCCTCGCTCCGTCTCTCTCTCTGAACACTCCCCCAGCAGGTGCTTTCACTACAGCTTTAGCTTGCAGTTTTGCTTCAGGCTGTATCTTCCAGGTAACTGTAATTCTGCCAAAAACGGGCCTTCAAAGGAGGGGTCTCTCTGGCCTCGAACTGGGCGCTCGGCACCGACCTGCAGGAGGACGTGGGCTGAGGAGTCCCCGCTGCCTTGCTTCACCTCCGACCTCAGGTTGCACACAAACATCGGCTCTGAGGTGAGCATCGATCGGAAAGCTTTGGCCTCTCCACGTCACAGCATCTTTAAGGTAAGACACTGGCCTGAACCAGAGTTTGTATATTTTATGTTATATCTCTTTATCAGGTGATTCATATTCTTTAAATATATGTATATATAAGGTGATTCATATTTTTTTAAATTGAACATCTGTGTGCGCCAACCTGTGGTTGAAGAGTACAGGTGTTAGTGTTCATGTTTAAATGACCCAAATMTGCATTTTTTATTGTGTTTGATAATAACTCAGAATGATGTAGAGCTGCAGTCATTTTTTTATAACAACTGAAATAAAGACCCAAAATATTAAGTGACAAATAAAAACTGAGATACTTTATAGCCACAAGTTTTCTTATAAATCTAATAAAAACAGTCATCACGTGGTTTAAACTAACTTTTCAGTGATTCAGGTCAGTGATGTAACCGGACATTTAGGAAACTAATGGATATCTGAAAATCAAGACAAAATGTGTCCGTGTGTTTGTGTGTTTTTGTGTGTGTGTGGTTTTGGGGGTGTCAGAGCATGTGTGTTTGTGTGTGTTTCACTCTTTGTAGCTTTCACTGCGATGAATCGGGTTACGGATGTGGTTTGAAACAAGCTGCCTGTGGGGTTGTCAAAGGGCAAACATCAAAACCTGTTTTATGGCTTTGGAAATTTTAAACACTTTTGCTTCTGGTGTCTAAAGACGGAAGAAATTATTGTGTTGTTGTTAAAACTAGTTAAAGTTTAATGATGTGTTACTTTCAGGTAGTGTCATAAATCTTATTACAATTAGAGATACAATAACACAATTTTAAGGAAAATCTCTAGACACACACACGCACACACCGGCAAAAACATAATCACCCGCCTTCTAAACTTATATTTCTTAATCAGTTTAGCAGTTTTGTCCCCATCTCCTGCTCTGTGAAACACTTGACATGTATATACAACCCCTGGCAAAAACGTATGGAATCACCAGTCTTGGATGAGCACTCATTCAGACATTTCATTCTGTAAAACAAACTCGGATCAAAAACATGATACAATAATAAGCTCATTTCAAAGCGCAACTTGTTGGTTTTCAGGAACACTAAAAGAAATGAAGAGGAAACATTGTGGAAGTCACTGAATGTTACTTTTTATTGACCAAGCACAGGGAAAAATATGGAATCACTCAGATCTGAGAAACAAAATATGGAATCATGAAAAACAGATAAATAAAAGATCATTCAAAATACATCACTAGTATTTAGTTGCACCACCTTTGGCTTTTATAACAGCTTGCCGTCTCTGAGGCATGGACTTGATGAGTGACAAACAGTAWTCTTCATCAATTTGGTGTCAACTCTCTTTGATAGCAGTTGCTAGATCAGCTTTGCAGGTCGGAGCCTTCTTGTGGACTTTTTTTCCAATTTCCAACACAGGTTTTCAGCTGGGTTGAGATCTGGACTTTTTGCTGGCCAAGACATCGTCTGAATGTGTCTTTCTCCAAGGAATGCCTTCACTGTTTTTGCCCTTGGAAAATTATTTCATCACCTCCAAACATCTGTTTAATTGAAGGGATGAGAAAACTGTCCAAAGTGTCATTGTAAACTTGTGCATTGATAGAAGAATGAACCACAGTCATCTCCCCAGTGCCTTTGCCTGACATGCAGCCCCATATCATCAAGGACTGTGGAAATTCGGTTGTTTTCTTCAGGCAGTCCTCTGCATAAATCTCACTGGAACGGCACCAAACAAAAGTTCCAGCATCATCACCTTGTTTAATGCAAATTCTTGACTCATCACTGAAGATAACGTTCATCCATTCATCCACAGTCCATGATTGCCTCTCCTTAGCCCATTTAAGTCTTGTTCTTTTTTGTTTAGGTGTCAAAGATGGTTTTCTTTAACTTTCCTGTATTAAAATCCCATTTCCTTTAGGCRRTTTCTTACGGTTCGGTCACATACATTGGCTCYAGCTTCYTCCCAKTTATGCTTCATCTGATTAGTTGTRCTTTTTYGGTTTTCAAGACAAATGGCCTTAAGTTGTTTGTCTTGASRCTTTGATGTCTTTCTTGRTCTACCAGTACGTTTGGCTTTAACAACCATTCCATGCTGTTTGTATTTGGTCTATATCTTGGATACAGCTGACTGTGAACAGCCCACATCTTTAGYCACCATGAGTGAAGAGTTGCCTTCAAGAAGTTTCACAATACTCTTTTGTTTCAAGAGACATTTCTCTTGTTGGAGCCATGGTTCTTGCCACWCCACTTCGTCCAGCAGCCCTCCAAGGTGTCATGACTGCAGGTGATTTTAACTGCARACCAACGAGCAGATCTAATCTGAGGCAGGTGTCTATTGAGGGAAAAGAAATTAACTGGGTGTGTTCTTATTTTCTGCCTCCAGTTTGAGTGATTCCTTACCTTTTTCCTCAGAATTGAGTGATTACATTTTTTTCCCTGTGCTTGGTCAATAAAAGTAACTTTCACTAACTTCCTAAATGTTTTCTCTTCATTTCTTGAGTGTTCCTGAAAACCAACAAGTTGCACTTTGGAATGACCTTATTATTGTATCATGTTTTTGATCTGAGTTTGTTTTACAGAATGAAATGTCTGAATGAGYGCTCATCCAAGACTGGTGATTCCATACATTTTGCCAGGGGTTGTATTTGCTGTGAGCGTCAGGACGGATGCTTGTTCTCTTCCAGCGGACCGTCTTCGCACAACAGAAGGGTGTGAGGACACGACACACACCCCAGATTCATAAAAAAACATGCTGATGTTAGAAAACCAACATTTTTATTTGTTTATGGGGATGTTTGATCTCTCTGTGTGCAGCTTTGTTCTTCCTCTTTGGTGCTGACAGTAATTGCTCCCTGTTGATTAATGCTTCTGACACTTTGTGATGACAATCTGTTTGTTCTTGGCGTTGATTACTGTTGGTAGTTGAGTGATTCTTTCTCTGAGGGGAAAGGCTTTTCTTTTCTTTTCATTTTGGACAAAGTGAACCTCTGATAGATAACTCCCTCCTTTATTTTTCTTTTGGTGCCAACGCAGCTACCAAAACAGTAGCAAATACTGAAAACTTAGAGATTTATCTGTACAAAAATAATACATAATTAGTAGTGTTTGTACAACTGAACTGCAAAAATGCACTATAGTTTAGAAATAGAAAAACTATAATCCTAAGATTCGCCAACCCAAAAGACCAAACTAGTGGTGCAATTTGTCCCCACCTTCATCTCATTTCTGCTGATGAGACTATTTCAAAGCAGGTGAAGATAAAAATAAAATGAAACTATAAATTTGCCTCTCAGTCCATCTGCAGACGTTTTTGAGCCACCTGCCAGCAATTTTTCCCTCATCCATCTTTCCATAAAGCAGACGACAGGTACATTTCTTAATYGGTGTAAAAAACATACCTGAGTATCTAAAATACAACCGTCTGTCAGAAATAWTAATACGTTTTTGAAGCGGTTTAGTTTCCAAGGCTACTGGCCTGATGCCTGTGCACCTGACAGCAGAAATGAGTCACCATGAATCCCCCGCTGGCAGTTAATACAACCCTTACGGGGAATGGTGGATAATTAAATACAAAGTTGTTACGTTAAATGAAGTTTAACAGATGAGGGGGGAACGGGGATTTGTGAAGGTCTCAGCACAACAGATGCTGCAAAGTACTGCAGATAACGCAGAATTAGCCTTTGCKTTTCATAAAATAAGCAAATACCTGTAAACAGAACCGACCACATGAGTTTATTTATAATGTGAACAGAGCACCTGCACTTGTTACTGTCGCCATAAAAAATGGCTGAGGCTGCAATCCACAGATCCATCCCCCCCCCCCCCACCAACATCAATTAACTAATAATAAACTTGCATAGATATAAATATGCATTGTCAGAGAGTTTCAGCTTCTCAGCATGCTCCATGCTTGAAGCATGCATTTATGTTGTCAGTTCTTCAGGCAAGAAGAAGCTCAACAAGAGGATGAATCTCTTGTTCTCGAAACAATAACTTTCTTCGTTGGCTCAAGGTTCCCATGAGAAACAATAAAGAGGGGAAAAAAAACTCTTCCTTTAACACTTACACAGCAAACAGTCACGCCTGGCTGTACACACTCCCTAAACTCCAGACTCAAACACCACCAGCAGAGCGCTCTACCAACGTTTTTGTCAACAATCGGATGGATGGTGTCGAATCTCATCTGGGACCTTTTTTTTTCTCAGCATCTAAGTTAAACAAGACCGGACATTTTGGTTGTTTTAATCCCTACTCATTAACTTTAGTTTAAACATAAGTTGACTTAATGTCACGTATCTGGTCAGAAACTTTGACGAATTAGCGCAGAGGTTAAGCTGAATTGGTTGCACGGGTTCTCCCATTGTCTTCTCAATGTGGAAATGGAAAATTTACGCAGCTTTTATTGGCAACTTTTCAACACTTTTTTTGTTGGGTTTATTCTAGTGATAGTGTCACAAACAATTTATTTGGTCCTCCATGTTAAATAAAGCCAAACATTTAAAGTAAAAAAAAACAAAACTCTGCTTCTCAGGCTGGATAAACCTCGGGAGATATTTTCCTCTGGCATCAAAGCCTGACTTTGCTCAGTAAATCGAGCGAGCTCTAATGCTCCTGAAATGAATATCAGCCTCTTGACCAAACTCATTTAGAGATCAGTCAGAATCTTAATCCCTCTCTCCTTTGGTGGGGTGAGAGTCTGTGCCTTTTTTTTTCTTTTCTAGTGTCTCCTCTTCCTTTTGGAAGAAGGTAATATGGCTAAATTTGCTTTGCTAATGGGTTTAGCGCAAGCTGTTACAGAGCAGAGTTGACCCTCAGCAGCAGACTGGGATGCCAAAGGCTTTTAATCTGACTCCTGATGGAGTGAAAGGGAGAATGGGTTGGAGTTTACGGGAAGTTTAGCAATAAAAGGAAGACCGGAGGGAGGAGGTTTTACAGTGGGGGGTTAAAAACCAAGAACTGGAGGCAGACATTTTTTTTGATACAGCAATGATAACTTAATTAACTTTTGCAGAAAAAATAGTTGCTTGCAAACTAAACTGAGTGTGCATCTCAGATTTGACCACCTCTACATCACATTACATTGCAGCAGCAAAACACAATTAAACAYTGACAGTTTTCTTATAAGACGTGGAAGATTTCCTGATGGTGAAAACCCAAAACTGACTCCTTAAGGATGTTTTATTTTCATGTATTCCAAATTCCTTCTCGAATTTTTTTCTGGGTTGATGGTTGCAATCAAATGTTTCGCAAACTTTAATTGTTTGCCTTTGCAACAAATCGAGCTAATCAAGCCGGGAACATGTGCTCTGTGGAGGCACACTTCCTTTACTGCCACTTCACCCTCAACCACTGATAACCTGGTGTGTGACAGTAATGTGTCTTCCCATACGCCAGCTGTGGCCGGTACGAATTATTGGTGCCATATACAGAGGGTAAAATAAGTATTGAACACGTCACCATTTTTCTCAGTAAATATATTACTAGAGGTGCTAATGACATGAAATTTTCACCAGATGTTGGTAACAACC